AAGAAAAGTGGACTGCATGGCTGAAGCAACAGACTCCTCTTTTTGACGTTCTGGGAGCTGTTCCCCCTCTTCTCACAACAGTGCTCACCTCATATGGGTGACTCACCCCAGGGACCACTTAAGGCTAATTCCTCGCAGCAGGGTTGCTGCTTTGATATATCATTTTTCCACGGTGCCGTGACTCTACCCCAAAGCCTGTGCATGGTGGGCCAAGGCTCTACGTTTGAGCCACAACCCCCAACCATATGCTTCCCATGGACTGAGAGAGTCTGGCGAAGTGTCACCTTACAGGGCCAGGGGGATTCTGAGGATAGAATGAACCCTCCAGGAGAGATTAAGGAGATTATCCTGGAACTATGCTGGCCCAGCGGAACCACATGAGCCCGGTAAAGTAGACAAAGAAGACTGAGGTGGAAGAACTCGGATTGGAAGCCTGGGGGCTCCACATAACACTTTCACTCTGGAGATAGGAGAGCCACATGATTCAGAATGCGGGCAGTTTCAATCGACACCCCAAAAATGCTGATCCTATCTGAATCTGAGTGAGAGCAGCGTTAACTTATCACACAAGGTACAGCCCAGCCAACTCCCTGACGTCATCCTTGGGAATGAGCCCACCTGGACTCCTAGTCAGCAAGAATTGTGACTTAATGCATGGCTATTGTTTTGAGCCATTAAATTTGCAGTATTTGTTATATGGCCATGGAAGAATCAAGCAGAGTGTTTCAGGTAAGGGGGAAAAAACAAGGTCACTCACTGTGGGGAGCTGTGTTAGTGACTGAGCAAGGGGAGCACCTCTGAGACACGTGTGTATTAATGCCTCTTTGAAGGGTCTTTCCCCTTTTTGTCACCTAAGTTTTCATGATGTAAGTTAAGGATGCCCAAACACATCCACATCTCCCATCTTTGAAACATGTCCCAGGGCCTTGAGTTAAGCGTGCCCCAAAATGTATCTAGTGGGGGGTCCCTCTTAAATTATGACCTTGAGCAGTTGGAGAGGGTCAAGTGCTTGTCGCTCTTCCTGAGAACCCACGTTTAGCTCCTGGAACCCATGCCAGGCAGCACACACCCACTCCCAGTTTCTAGGCACCTGATGCTCTCGGCTCCATAAGCAATGCACAAACTCATATACAGACGCACAGACATGTACGTCTTTCTTATTATTATTATTCAGAAAGAAGAGTGGGGAGCAAGAGAACTCGCTGAGCAAGTAGAAGAAGCTGAGTCTGAATCCCCGGCAGTCAAGTACAAAGTCGGGGAAGCTTGGAAGTGCCTGTAACCCCAAAACAGGCACTGGGGCAAAATGATGAATTTCTGTTTCAGTGAGAAACCCCGTCTCATAGCACTAATATGGGAAGCAGAACGGAAGACACCAGTATCCTTCTCTGGCCTCTGCATGCCTGTACTCAGGCATGACTGTGCCCCCCAACACACACACACCATGACACACAAACACAAATATAAAATTTAAACTAAAAAAATAAATCCCCCAAGAATAAGATCCATCCGTTTTGTCTGTTGGAGGAGGGCATTGTTTTAGAGTGACTTCCAGGCTCTCCAGATCTGCTGCAGGTAGCAAATCTGTCTTCCTTCTCCTGTCTTTGTCCATGCTTGTTTCAGTTTAGCACTCCCCCAAAATACAATCCCATGTGTTCTCTGTTCCTTAAACAAACCCAATCAAGGCCCCTGGGGGGAGACACAGCCTGGGAAAATGACAATGTCAACACTGTAACACCAGACCACCAATACAGCTTCAGAGCCAAGGATGCAGTGTGAAGAGTGGGGCCTGGGTCTTTCTGGAAGATCTCACCCCAACCCTCACTCCTACTCCAACCCCCACTCCTACCCCAACCCCCACTCCTACCCCAACCCCCACTCCTACCCCACCCCCACCTGAGTTGTTGCCTGGCAGGAACCTGGGCTCAATGTGGATGAAATTCTAATTTTTCGGGACAATCCAGGAGTCTCATTTCTATGTCTTAACTTAGTCTTTAAAAACACCGCCCTGGCCAACTTCGTGCTGATCAAACAAAACACAGATGTGTGCTTGAGCCAGATGTGACCTTCTGAGAACACCCTTGGAGTGTAAGACAAAAGGCAGAGAGGTCCCTGGAGCTCAGCCCGAGAAACCCAGGCGTTGACTTTTTAGAAAGGAAGGGGGCTGTGTGAATGCCCCCCTCACCCACCTTTCCTCTCATTCAAAGAAAGGGGAAGTTCACATTTATGGAAGCTACAGCTGGTGAGTGGCCATGCTGTTCCTGTCCTCATTACAGCACCCTGGCACCCTGGCAGTGCACCCTAGCACCCTGGCAGGGCACAGGCTACTGGCTCTGCTTCCAGATGAGGCATCTGGGATGAGAGGTGTCCCAGCAACCTGTGGTGACACAGATCTGACCCGTACTGTTTCCTGTTCATTCCAGAAGGTTTCCTGCCATGCTTCCCAAGGCCTAACCAGCTTCCTCTGCTTACTCGAGGCTCCCATTCACCCGTGTCTAGCCTTTGCTGTGAGCATCCATCTTCCGAAAAGAAGCTCTGTGAGCACCAGCCATTGCTTTGCCTTCTCCTCCACAGAGAATCTAAGATCCATCCAAATCAGCGAGGGATAAGAACCAGACCTGTGAGGAGAGAGCGAGCTAGTCATGACTCCTCTTCAGAGATGCTCTTAGTGAATAAAGGCTGGCTTTTAATGGCAGCTTTACCAGCTTGCATTGAGGCATAAACAACATAAGTATATGTATATTGCATGTATAATATTTTCAATTTGGTATGTTGCTCTTATATTATCTGTGAACCATCACCACAAAGATAATGACTATGTCCATCACCCCAAGATTCCTCCTGACCATTTGTAAAACCTCACTCTCATTCTTCCCACACTCCATTCTCATCTCCTGGCAAGCTATGATCATTCTTCTCTCACCATGGTTTTCATTTTCTGATAGTTTTTTTTTCTAGTATTTTCTAGTCGTATAGTGTCTACTCAAGTTCTCTCTGGCTTCTTTTCATCATCATAATTCTTCTTTATTTCCATCTCTTTTTTTCTGGGTGTATAGCAACACTTCATTCCTTTTCATTGTTATGTAGCTCTTCACCTGAGGGGTGGCCTTGTGAGATTCCCCCATCCACCTTGTCACCTCTGCCAGTGTCATGGCGCAGTCTTGCCTGCACAGCCATAGCGCTGACATTTTATGGGCGCAGCTTCCGCGTCACATGCAGTGGAGTCTTGTTCCTCTGGCCCCTAAGTGTCTTTCCATACACACCCCTTCTGCAGTGTTTCCTGTGTAGCTTGCATTGTTAGATGTGCCAGTGAATGTTGGACACCCCCGCCCCTGGTCATTTAGTCTCTGCATTTTACCAGTGTTTTCAGCTTTATATTTATTTACTTCTGTGAAGATCACAGGACAGTCTGGAGGAGGAGATTCTCTTCTTCTGCCATGTGAATCCTGTCAATCAGACTCAGGCTGTCAGCCTTGCAGCCTTGTCCCTTACTCACTGAGCCATCTCTCTAGCCCACATGCACGTTTCTGAACTTGTACGTATGTATTCGTTTGCTTGGACTATTACTTGAAAAATGAAATGGCTTTGGGTAGGTGCCATGGTATAAATGTGACTCTAAAAGAATTTATGCCCTGGAAACTGAATCCTCAAGTCTATGGTATTTGGAGGTAGAAATTTTGGGAGATGTACTAGTGGCTTTCTAAGAGACAAAAGCCACACCTGATCTCGTAAGAACACTATCTCACCATATCACGCCTGTTTTCATTTTGCAGCACAACAGAAAAGCCCCTATTACATGGTAATTGTATTCCAGTACCATGTTTTTAGAATTCCCAGTCTTTGAAACCATGAGTCAAATAAACCTCTCTTCTGTATAAAGAACTCAATCTTGAGTGTTTTATTATAGCAGCACAAAATAGACTAAGACAAAACCTGTGTTTGATCATAAAAATTCTGACATAACTTTCATGTGAGTCTCAGAATGTCTATGTCGTGCATATTTAAAGGTGTACCCAGACCACATATGAACCAATGATATGCACATGCTCAGACACCAGGAGACCAAATCAGCTATGTGATGAAAGCTATCAGAACAGGCAAAAAGCCTGCATGAACTTTGTTGAATAAAGTGCTCAGTGCACAAACCCCCAATAACATTAATTCTGTAGAAATGGCTTCAAGAGAACTATGTAACCTATCTTCAGAAGAGTCTTTAAATGATGACAGCTTCTCACTGGTCTTGCATGGAACAAACATGGTCAATACCAAAACCTTCCCATGAAACAAAGGAGGGCAAGAGTTTTTCAAGGGTGGCCCCATCAACATGGAAACAGGGCACAAATGCACTTCTTCCCCCAAACCGGACCCCATTGAGCTGAAACTGAATTGCCCAACATCTGGACTTGAACTAGGCCTCTGGACAATTCTGCTACATGATCTGGCCTCAGAACCACTGACCATCTTTCACACCCTTCAACTTTCCTGGCATTGAATCTGTCAAAGGTTACACCGTGCCGAGAACGCCATCCCTCTATCGGCGGTTTCCATGCCAGGCCTGGAGACCCATGATGAGCGCTCCTCCTGGAACTAAGTTACCACACATATGCTTACTTCTTTCCCTCAAAGCTCCAAACTACTTATATATATATATATATATATATATATATTAAAAAAAAAGATTGCGTATTTTTTTTCAGCACTTAAATGCAAACATCAGAACCACCCACTCTGCTCCATAAGGCCCTCACATTAACACATCAAGATATAACCCAGCTTAGAAAATGAAAGGACAAAGGTGGTAGGTGTTGCGCTCCAACACTTTTTACTGTCCCAGAACCCAGCAAATGTATACATCAGCAGGAAATCAACCTAACTTGAATAGGAGGAATTTGAGTAAAAATATTGGCTATTTCCCCTTTCATCTTCAGTTTAAGCACGACTACGACTCAACATTCTAAATAAGCCAGACGTCTTGACCTTTCCTGGCTCTCTTTCCTACATGCTTAAAATTTAGCCCAGTCTCTGAAGATCCTCTCTAGCTTCTGGCTGAGGAGAACTTTGCCTTTCACTTTGAACTTGCCAGCCAGGAAAGCCTTCTGTGGGTTCATCTTACCCACAATTAACTCCATGAAGACAGAGTCAGGGATGATGAAGACAGTGTCTGCCGGAAGCCGTGCAGATCCCAGATAGGTGTCGCCGGAACCATTCTTGAGGTCAATGGTCCACTGCAGAATAGTCTTCCCGTCTTTGGTGATGTCCAGCTGAAAGATGGCATTCACTTTCTTTACCAGTTGGGCTCCCACATCTTTGATGTGGTGGCTAATGTCCTCAAACACCGAGAAGCTCTGAAAATCTGACAGTTCTAGCGGGTGTGGCAGTGCCGACTCTGTGGCCGGTCCCAGAGCCAGAGAATGGCAAGTCTGAGGCCTATCCCCTGCTTTGATCTTGGCTTGAGGATCAGTTCTCTTCCACATCTTACTGTGGTCCTCTTGGCCGTGCCATCTGGCTTGTGAGTGCTGTGGCCACAGTAATGCTACAGGTCAGATTGTGACATCAAAGGCAAGGCTCAAGCCTCAGACTGAGGCTGGTATGTGTGCTGCAATCTTATTGGCCAAATAACTCTCAAAATGTGACAAGTAATTGTGAGGCAGAAATATGCCACACCCTCTCATATACACACTGCCACCACCATACCAGACCAAGTGCCACAAGGTCAAAGGTCTGAACCCTTCTATGGGGATCAGGGAATCTGGCCCCAGAACCTTCATTAGTGACATGAACAATTCTATATTTCCAAATCAGACTTTTCCCAGGCTTCAGAACCGTCTAAGAGAACAGTTATTGGGGCTGCCTCGACAGGCCACAGGGAAGAGAGTAGAGGATGTGCTCAATCCTGATGTGACTTGATGTGCTGGGGTGGGTTGGGGGTGGAATCCCCTCTTCTGAGTAGAGGAGGAGGGATAGGGGAAGAGGGAGGAAGGGAAGGAGGGCAAGGAGGGGGCTACAATCAGGATATAAAGTGAATTAATTCACTTTTTGAAAGAAGTACATAATTCTTAGATCACAAATCCTGGTGGAGATTTGGGTTTTTAGGGCCACTAGTAGAGGGGAAACTAGAAGAAGAGAAAAGCAAAGAGGGAGAGATATCCTTAAGCAGAAGAGACTGTTGACCTCATGTGGTAATTATGTTACGACAGCCCCTGCTCTGAGCCGTGGGCATGAATTCTAAGCCCAGTGTGGTGGCACACTCCTTTAATCCCAGCACTTGGGAGGCAGAAGTAGGCAGATCTCTGAGTCCAGGAAGGGCGGCCCAGTCTACAGAGCAAGTTCCAGGACAGCCAGGGCTGCAGACAAGTACTTTCTCATAATAAATTGTAAGCTGTCTACCTGCATTAGCACAATACATTTAATTTTTATTACAACCTCAGAAATAGGTATTCTTTTATCCCAGTTGAATACATAGGAAAACTGAGGGAAGTCACTAAACGGGAAGCTAAGCAAGCTAGGAAGCAGTGTGGCCAGGTCTGAACAGAAGCATGATTACCGTAGAATCCAATGCAAAAACACTGCCTGCACACCCTGCTTCCCGCTTCCCCTCATGCTGGGGTCCCACATGACTATAGCATGAGGATCCGATCTAAGAAATTAACTGAGAATTTCCTGATGTTGCTAACTGAACCAGAAACAATATCTGAGTTCTGTCTATTAGCCAACTAATACCCCTACTCTGATCTGCACCCCAGATTCTGGCCCTGAGTTCCACATTGGTTTTGACTGTGTATTTTCCTAGTCCTCTGAAGCCTGTAGCAGTTCTTCAGTCTTGTCTATCATGGCATCTACACGTTGGAGAAGTACCTGCTGATTATCCCACAAAGTGCCTTCACTTGAGATCTGTCTAATGCTTTCTCAGGAAACACTAGGCTAGGCTGAGCTTGTGACTGTTCTCGGTCATGCTCTTTTTAACCCTCGGGGGATTTTGTGTCCTCTCCAGGGCAATGTAGCAGATGTACATGACGTTTGCTCTTTTTTCTGCTGCCATTGACCTTGACTATTTGGTTAAAAATGTTGCTATTAGTTGCTCCTGTTGTTTTGGGTGTTGGTGTGTCTATGTGTGTGTGTGTGTGTGTGTGTGTGTGTGTGTGTGTGTGTGTGTGTGACAGTGCAGTGCCTATGAGCACATGCAGCACTAAAAGGAAGATACTAGGATCCTTATCATTCTCTGCCTTATTGTATTGAAGCAAGTTCTAGCACTGATCCCAAAGATCACCATCTCAGCTAAGCTGGCTGGCCAGTGAGTCCCAGGACCTGCCTGTCTCTGCCCCGCAATGATGGGGTTACAGACATGCGAACATTGTGTTTTGCGTCTGTGAGTGTGGGAGTCACATTCAGGTCCTCAGGCTTTCTCAGCCAGTGCTTGGACAGATGGAGACAGCTCCCCAGTCCCTGGAGTGTTTGTTAGCTTATGGTTTGTTTCAGATTTTGCAAAAAGGACACATCAATAGCAATTTGAGGTGTTTCAAATGCCATGCTTTGCCCATTCCTCTTTGCATGTACGTGTCTGGCTTGGTGTGGAGAAGTTCACTCATTTGTTTTAGCTATTCTAATAGACATGTAGCCCACATAGCTTTTAGTTCTAAGACAGACATCTGTCACACCTATCCAAAGGTGTGGTGACGAACTCTTCTATACCAGGTATGGCTGTAGAGAATGGAATGATTGCATGTGGTAGGTGGGTTTGTTATCTGCGCAGAATGCTCCCCCTCTGTTGAAAGGATATGCCAGAACAAATTATAGGTCTCAACTTTGCACATTGCTAAAACAGAGTTCTTCATCCACAGCCTCACAACGGCATTCACTGTAAGTGGGGACATGGCCCCTATCACTTTGAGGCTGGGCGTGGCCGTGAGACCTGCTGTGGGCAGTGCAGTGCTGGCGATGTCAAACAAGCAGAGGCTTGAAATTTGTCCAGGTCATTGGGTTTGTACCCTTGTGCTTCTGTCACGGCCTTTACAATATTGCTCCCTGGACAGTTGTGAATACAGAGAAGAGACACATGGAGCTGGCCTAGCACAAAACCAACAGAGCCCAACTTTGATCCACCACACAGCAACCTCCCTGTTCATCCACAGGAATAAATTCAAGTCCCTGCAGCCTCTAAGCTTTGGGGCTATTTGTTATTTAGCACTGCTGTAATTCTAGCTGACTTGTGTACAGAAAACATAGTCTGAAGCTGCCAACAGGCCTTGGGAGCAGGATCTTCAGTCTGGACACGGACATGTCCTGTGCAATGAGAACCTGCAGTCTTTCCACATGAAAGATAGACAGACCCAGGCCTGGACGTTGGCTGAGACAATCGAAAGGTCCTCGCCTGAGCTAGGCAACAAACCTACTTGGTTTTGTTCACACAGTTCTCCAGGAAATATGATTTGACCAACAGCAGAGACTCGTTAGAAATACAAAATCTCCTCTCAGCAATAATAGCAGAGCATCATTAATAGTGTTGAGCTGGCTCTCTCCCGTGGGGCGGGTCTCAAGTTGGGCCAGTCATTGGTTGGCCTTTCCCTCAATCTCTGCCCCATCTTTATCCTTACACTTCTTATGGCAGGATAAATATTGGGCTGAGGGTTTTATGGATGGGTTAGTATCCCATCTCCCTCCACTAGAAGTCCCACTTGGCTACCGGAGGTGGCAACTTCAGGCTCCAGATCCCCTGCTGCTAGCAGTCTCATCTGAGGTCACCCCCACTAGCATAACTGTCTTCTGAGAGGCTTCATCCAGCAGTTGATGGAAACAGATGCAGAGACCCACAGCCAAACAGGGAGTTTTGTGGAAGAGTGGGAGGAAGGATTGAGGAAGCTGGAGGAGTCAAGGACACCATAAGAAGACCTACAGAGTCAACTAACCTGGGCCCATGGGGGCTCACAGAGACTGAACCACCAACCAAAGAGCACGCATGGACTGGACCTAGGCCCCTACACATATGTAGCAGGTGTGCCGCTTGATATTCATGTGGGTCTCCTAACAATGGGGCTTTCTCTGACTCTGTTGCCCTTTTCTCTAGCTGGGTTGCCTTGCTTGGCCTCAGTGGAAGAGAATGAGCTTAGTCCTGTTGCAACTTGATGTGCCAGGGTGGGTTGGAACCCATGATGGCGGGGGGTGGGGGGGAGCAAGGGGAGACCGTTTCTCAGAGAAGGGGAGGAAAACTGGAGTGTGAGGGTGGAACTGGGAGGAGAGGGAGGGTGTGTGATCAGGCTGTAAAGTGATTAAGTAAATAGATTAATAGGAAAAAAAAGAAATACAAAATCACAGGCCCCACCTAAGACCTGTTACAGCAATGTCTGTCTTTAACAAGATCCTCAGTGATTCTACAGCTCATTAAAACTTGGCATAGGAGGATACAAATGCCCACTCACACGCCTGCTACAGCCCCACTGATTTAAAAATAAAAGCAATTTCATAATGTGCTCTGGGGTTAATGTTTACAATTAACAAGTGCACAGTCAGGGAATAATCTAACAAAAACTAAGAAAGCATTTCATGTGAACACTTTTCAATAGGGATTTTGTTCATTTGTTCTTTTACTATACCAGGAATTGCTCCTCGGCCTCGCACAGTGGGGCAAGTGACCTGTGCACCAGACATGTCCCAGCCTTCTTTTTCACTTAATACTTGAACTCACTCCATAGCCCAGGTAAGCCTTGAATTTTCAATTCTCCTGTCTCAGCCTTCTCAGATTGTTTTTTTTTTTTTTTTCCCCTTTAGGGCAGTTCTAGGCTTCATAAAGTACAGAAAGTTCTCAAGTATCCACTCTTTCTCTTAGCACAAGTTCCTGCTTTTCACACCTTGCATTAATGTGCTGCATCTGTTACAACTACCGAACCAATTTTCATATACTATTATTAAAATTCATAGTGCCAAGTAGGTTTCCCTGGGTTTCATATACTCTATGGGTTTTTACCAAATGCATAACTTCAGGTACTCACCCTTGCTGGAGAATACCACTGCCACAACCGCTTATCCATCCATCCCTCTTCACCACCCTCTGATGACTTCTTTTTCTACCATCAATACCTTTGCCCTTCTAGAATCTCATATAGCTGTATACATACATAGGTAGCCTTTTCAGATTGTCTTCTTTTCCTTATAAAAATAGACATATGATTTCTCCTGGGGCTGGAGAGATGGCTCAACAGTTAAGAGAGCTTGAAACTCAGAAGATCAAGTTTTTTTCCTAGCACCCACATCAGGGAGCCCACAATCGCTTGGTAGGGGAGCCTATTCTAGTCTCCACAGGCATGCACACATGCACACACACATGGGGGAAGAGGGTGCTTTTAACACTATTAACTTTAAATTTGTTCCCTGTACCCCACACATAGATATACATATCATACATATCATTTAATAATAAGACTTTAAAAGAACTCTTCACTTCTTTGCACATCTTTGTAGCTCTTTTTTGGCTTACTCATCT